AGCAGGAAGCAGAGGTGAGGAGAGGGCAGTGCATTTCACTCGTAAATATCGAGGTTTTTTGGGCTTTCACTTCAGGACTGCTTGTAGTATGTTGTGCGGTTTTGCGTGCTATCCTACGTTTTGAGTGCCGGCCCAGATTTGTGTTTTTCGGGGTTGACATTGTTATCGGGGAGGAAGTTCAGGCAGAGTAGAGGCGCTTCATGTTTTGAGCTCGCTGGCACGGAGCAAGAGTTGCCGAGCAGAACGTGCGCAGGACTCTCTTCCAGTACCTTCTTGCTTTATGGCTTTAGGGTGTAGGGTGCTGCTGCTGGACTGGAAGAAAACTGCAAGGTCTGCCGTCGGCCCCAGGAGAAGTCCCCTCCCCCACACACACGCTTGGTCGTGTGTGCTTTAGTCCAGGTTCAAGAAGCTTCGTTCGGACCACATGTCCTTTGGATGCACACGGTCCTCGCAAAAGGTTCGGAATGCACGGAAGGCATTCACGACGTGCTGCAGACCTACGTTGTCGGTGAGGAAAACTGCCGACAAACCGTGGATGTGACTGTTCTGCGCAGCGCCACGGCCCAAAGCGCCGACGCGACGAAGCATTTTTTCATGCTTCCCGCAAGGGCCTCACATCTTTGGTCACCTCCCGCAAGAGTGACAGAGCGAGAATTGATCTTTGCTCGCTTCTTGCTTTGCAAAAATCGAAGCGCCTTGGCTGCGATTTTTTTGGCCTGCAACTTGACTACCGGACTGTACTCCTTCCGGCTGTGCGCAGCGGTGGCAGCCGACAAGCCGAGTTCCCGATAAGCTTTCGTGAGGCCTTTGCCTTGGTCACTGCCTATCACATGCCTGCCTTTGGAGACTTTGCCAGCGATGAGCTGCTTGACTTCTTCGGTGCTTTCCGGAGGGCCTGCGAGCGCACAGAAGCTTGTATTGTGTGAGGAATGGCGGCTTAAAATTTGCGGGGAAGGGGTCCAGGTAATTTAGGAGTGCGTATATACTTGGGGGTTTCAGGGTTTAGCGCGACAACACATTTTCTCGCGGCGGAGCAGCTGCACTAGAGAGCGTCTTGCACAGTGGTCGGGTGGCACAGGAGTCCTGAAGTCATAAGACAAATCTCATCCAGGATTCGCTGCCAGACCAGCAAAAGTTTCCGCAGGCCGACCGTGTGGTGGAAGACTGCCTGTCGGTTTCGGACCTCGGCCAGGACCGTCAAGAGATCGGCGTGCATAGCTTCGAGACAACGTCTCCATTGGCGGCCTCCCCAACGGAAAACCTGTTCTCGAAAAGAGACGTACTCCTCTGCAAACTGCACCGTGTTGAGGTCCACAGATTCCACAGAGATGATGGTCTCACTGGCTTCCACGCATGCCAAAATGTAAGATGTCAGAGTGAGGACATGGAGTTCGTACTGGCTCTGTTCCGGGCCCAAGAAAGAGCGCAGGCCGTAGCAAGCCCGAGTCACGCGCAAAGCGACAGGAAGGAAACTGGTCCTCCAGGATGCACGTGCTTGCCGGTCAGGAAAAGCGAGGTTCACAGCAGTAGCCATGGCAGCCCCCAAGGCGAGCACGAAGTCTTCGTGCACTGGGCACGACATGTAAGTACATTTAAAGCAGGTGCTTTGAGCGGCAAGGTTCTGCGACAAGGGCACTCAGGCTCCTAGACGCGTTCAGGCTTTATGACGTTAGAGGACTTCAAGAACTAGGGTTTGGGAGTTTAGGGGTTACAGTAGGGGTCTGGGGTGTAGGCTTTAGGGTTGAAGGTCTAAAAGGGAAAGGCAAATGAAGACGCGAGCCTGGTGCTCCTTGTTGGGCAGGGGGTAGAAGACCTTCTCCTTGGAGCTTCGGTGACAGCCGACCAAGAAGCGACCGACGTGGGTCGCCTGATGAGTCTGCTTGTTTTTGGTGCCAGAGCTTCGGGTTCCATCCCACTCTACCACCCCAGGCGGAAAAGCCACGTCTGAGTTGAGCGTCATCTGCATGAAGGCTGTCGCCACACGGCACTGATTGTAGAGCCGGTCGACAAAGGCGCGGGAACGGCCAATCATCAAGCACGCCGAATCCTGCGGAATCCGCATGCTGAAAGCATACATTCCGAGGAGCAACCCACGCACATCTGCCTTGGAGCCACCAGAGATCATGTGGTGTAGCAAGGCGTGTAGGCGTACTTCCAGTTGACTCCTTGATTGCTGATGGTTATGAATTTATTCAGACTTTCGGGTTTCTGGTTTAAGGTTTAGAGTTAAGGGGTTAGGGTTTCGGGTTTTGGATTAAAAGTAGAAGGAAAAGAAACCAGCGTGGGCAGCAAGCAGCGTGGTCGGTGCGCCGGACAACTTCTGGATCCGCAGCGCAAAACCAGAGAGGTCGTTGTTCTGCTCAGGCCAGAGCCACAACTCCAGCAAAGCCTGCGGGCCTGGCTTCCAAAGAACTTATCGCGGGTGAGCCAAGCCTGCAGGGCAAAGCAAACAGCAAAAGAAATGAGGTACTGTCTTTGGTCGGTTGAGCCTGACAAGTCTTCTCTGGCCACGTGCACAGCTCAGGGAAACTGATTTGTTTCAGCTGTCTCAACTTGTGCGTGTCGGCCGAGACTTTTGCTGAGTAGGCAATTCCAAGACGATGGAAGTCTTTGTTGACCCCCTTGGCCTTGGCTATGCTCTGGGACACGGGCTTCTTTCGGCCAGAAGCATAGCGTAAGACTTCTTTGTTCAAGCGGCACTTCATGGCCCAGCCGACGAACCCCGGAGCCGGAAGAGCCTGTGCACTGCTGCGGAAACTGCAGCACTGCAGACATGAGAGTCAAGCAAAGCAAGTGAGCAAGTCCCTGGCTGGGCAAGTAATTTTTAGCGCGCACCCCTTGACACAGACATATCGAAGGAGCTGTACGAAGCTTTAGTTGTACAATCCGCGAGGGAACGGATATTCGAAAAAGCATTTCCTTTGCCCGTTCTTGGGCCAGAACTGGGCGCAGCGAAGCACAAGCTGACCCCGACGACCCACTTTACTGCTCTGCAGTACATGGGGCTGAAGACTACGTGTTGGATGTATTTTACATCCCCCCCACTTGAAACGACGCTGCTTCGGGAAGAAGAAAGGCACTGACACGGACCTCAGCTCCGCTAGCTGCAGTTTTTCTTGCTCCAACTGCTGGCGCACACACTCCGGCATGGAAGCCTGCCCCGACAAGGAGTTTGCTGCACGATCTCCAGGGACTCGGAAGACACGTCTGAAATCGCATCATCTTCCTTGAAGCCTGGGTCCTGGTCTGACTCCTTGTCTGAAACTTCGGAGATCGCCTCGGAGATCGAGTCCGTCTCGAACTCCTCGGCAACCACACGCCATGCCCGCTTCTCAGCTGCACTGAGAGGGGCCCAGAAGATGTCATCTTCACGGGCCCTTTTGGCAGCCCTCTCCGTCGAAAGTGCCTTCGCGGCCATGGCAGCAACTGGGCACGAGCAGCAGAGCTAGAAAAGTTGTGCAACCTGAAGACTGGATGAAAAGAGTGTTCATGCAAGTGCAAGCCCGAAGTCACATACGAATGTCTGATGTCCGGATTCCAAGCCCAAAACTGCAAGCATGAACGGGAGTCAGAACCCAAGAAAGCGTGGGCAAACGCCTGGCCCCGAACCAACATTTTGCAACGTAGCGTCCTTGTGTCGTGTCAAGGGCTGGCCTCTTGCCGCCAGTCCCTGTCACAAAAACGACTGCATCGCCATTGACCTGTCCTTTACATGTACTTCGCAGTCGCAAGAAATACTTTGGCGACTACACACCTGTGCCTGCTTACACGACCTATCTGGTCCACTCTCCACATTTTCACAGGCTCATGACGCGATAACTGCCCGGAGACGCTTCGATACTCCTGCACGTATCATGCCAGATGCCCGTGGCAAAGTAAAAGCCGCACGCTTCTTCTGGCGATGATAATTTGTCTTGTAAATTGCCGGCGGCTTCTGCTTGCCGGCCAGCTTTCGCCTCACCAAGTTGGCTTGCCGCAACACAAGTCTGCGCCGTGAACTGGCATGTTGATCCCGAAGCCGCTTTAACGAAAGCTCCCCTTGCGCTTCTTTCGTGAACTGTTGCCACGCTGAAGAGGTCCACAACTTCTGTCCCAGACGTCGTGCCAAGACGTGACCTGGAGCGAGCTGTCTAGTCGTGGGGCTGTACATTGCTGTGTTATGCTCCAAGAGCTTTCTCATTAAATTATTAAATTATTAAATTCCAGGCCTTGAATTTAATAATTGAATAATTACAAATAATTTAATATTAAATTGTTTCCAGATCTGGGCCTGAAGGCTTGGGAACAGGAATTTAATAATTAAGTAATTTAATAAGTTGAAAAGGGATTCTCATTAAATTATTAAATTAGTAAATCCCAGGCCTGGAATTATTCAATTCGTAAATCTCAGGCCTGGAATTTAATAATATCCTAATTTCAAATAATTTAATAAATTTACTATTAAATTGTTCCCAGATCTGAGCCTGAAGGCTTGGGAACAAAAGTTTAATAATTAAATAAATTAATAAATTGAAAAGGTTAAATTATTAAATTTTTAGATTCAAGGAACTGAATTTAATAATTGAATAATTACAAATAATTTGATATGAAATAGTTTCCAGATCTGGGCCTGAAGGCTTGGGAATAGGAGTTTAGTAATTAAATAATTTAATAAATTGAAAAGGTATTCTCATTAAATAAATTAAATTATTAAATCCCGAGCCTGCTTGCAAATAGTTGTTATGGGATCGAGTAGCAAAATATTAAAATATTCAATTCCGCCAAATAGACCCCATTATTCCCTCCTACCCCCCCCCCCCCCCCAAACTTCTACGACTTGAACCCTGAGCCCCGGAAACCCTGAGTCGAAACCCCAAGCCGTACGATGCAAGGCTTAGGTGCGGCTTGAAAACGAAAAAAAAGCCCAAGGTTGAAGCGACTTGAACGGTAGGGTTTAGGGTTTAGAGTTTAGGGTTTTAGGGTTTAGGGTTTTAGGGTTTGGGGATTGGATTCCAAGGCTCATGTACTTTTGCCATCGAGCCGAGCCCCACGTGTGGCTTATGAAAACCTGTCCGGCACAGTCTTGGTAGCTTCTGGAGCTTTGTGCTGCAGGGTTTGGGGTGCTTTGTGCGGTGTGAGAAGTCACGGAAGTGATTGAGTGGCTTCGGTGCAAACTTTTCTCTCTCTCTCTCTCTCTCTCTCTCTCTCTCTCTCTCTGTCTCTCAGTCTGTCTGCATTACTTCTTTTCTATAAATACAAATATATATATATATATATATATATACACACACGTCAGAGATGTATGCCTAAATGGAAAAGTACATAAGTTAAATTACAACAGTATATATGTATATACAAACATGCATACATACATACATACATACATACATACACACATAGATACATCCATGTACACACCCTAAACCACTGAAACTGTGCGCTGTGGCTCAAGCTTCTCTTACTTTGCCTGGGCTGGGTGCATCTGCGCATTTCGTGCGAGTCCGTAGCTGTAGGCTTTAGAACTGGGTTTTCAGGATTCGGGGTTTGCGGATTTGGGGTTTTGGGTTTAGGGCTTTAGGGGCTTAAGGTTGAGGGTTTTGGCCGGCCGTGGTTGCTAGCATTCTTGGCAATAGCACTTCTCTTTCTTTTGCATCTTCCTCTGGTATGTTTGCTAAATAACATGCTCATCATCTGCGCTGTGGTTGTCGCTCTGTTTCTCTTTGTTAAAGATATCACATCTTGACCATGAAGGTTGCCCTGAAGCACGCCGCTGCTGTCATGAATATGACTGAACGTTGCTATGCTTCGCAGTACGTACTGCTAGACACTCACCGCAGTGTTTGGTTCAAGCTCAGCCATGCGCAGTGTTTGGTTCAAGCTCAGCCATGAGAGCGTCCATAGTAATGTAGGGACCTGATTAAGAAACCCTGGCCTTATAAACCCCAAAATAGTAGGGTTCATACAAATAGGAACCGTAATAAAGGCCCAAGGTTTCTTAATTAGGGTCCTACATTACCATTCTTCCCGAGTTTCGGAAAAGCAAAGTTGCTCACGGCCAAAGTTTCCAGTATGCGAACGACTCCCAGCCCAGAAACCGTGTATTGGATGTTTACGTAAACCTTAATCACTACACCATAAAACCCTTCAGCCCTGAATTTTGGATCCTACCCCAATGACCTTTAAGCAATAGTTTAATTGGCAATCCGGCAAGACAAGCCAAAACCCTAAAAATCTGAAGCCCTACCCCGTATAGCCTCAACACCCCAAAACTCTGTCGACACAAGAAACCTGCAAGAGCGAAGCAAGATCCCTCGAATAATCCTAAGGCAAACCCTGACATAGGAGATTGATGGAGATTGACCAAACAGGAGCAGAATACCCTGATGGTTCCGTTAATTAGTTGTTATTGGCACCATAACCTACCCCCGAGACCATTCTAATTCATTAATTGAGGGTCTTTTGCCACACCCCTACTCGGTGTAAAACAGGACCCATCCAGAACCCTCAGACGGGAATGCGATGAGGAGCCCTTCAAACAACGGTAAAGCAAACCGCACAGGCCTCCACCTGGTTCACGGGCTCCGTCCCCAAGAAAGCGGGATCCCCGGCTGCTGCCTGAACTGTGCCCAGTGCATCGGATGCCTCTCGCGCAGGCTCCAGCCTAGACCCCTAAACCCTAAACTACCCTAAACCCCTAAACCCTAAACCCCTAACCCCTAAACCCTAAACCCTGAACCCCGAAACCCCCAAACCCCTAAACCCTAAACCGTTAATTACAGGTTTTAGGCTCAAAGGCTCTGAGTGCTTGCTTTAGGGGGCCTTAAGAGCATCCCTTAAAGCTTAGGCCGTTAGTGCTAAGGATCTAGGGGACTGCACCATCTCAGGCCTTAAAGAAGGGAAATCATAGTAAGGAGTCGTCCAGCCCCCTACTGCTTCTAGGATCATGCGAGGTAGTAAGCAATGTTATACCTTAACCTAGCAAAACCTACTTTTTTGTAAGATCCCTATAAATTCCATATTCGGGTTTATAATAAGAACCTACAAAAAGTAGGGTTTGGTAGTCTAAGCTAAGTAGCTTCATTGGGGTTAAAAGTATAGTTAGCCTAGTTATACCCTTAAAGTTACTAAGTCGCATGATCCTTTAAGCAACCCTAGAACCCCTCTTACAGATCCCTTTTCAGGAGCCCTTTAAGGAACCCTATAGCGGTTTAGGGTTTAGGGTTTAGGGAGCCTATAGTTACTAAGTCTCATGATCCTTTCAGGAGATCGGAGTACGTTCAGCCTCCTATCAGCCCAGAAGTTGCAAGGGCTAGCGCTTCACGGGTTTAAAGGGATCCATAGGGTTCCTTAAAGGGTTCCTAAGGGATCTATAGGGTTCCTTAAAGGGTTCCTAAGGGATCTATAGGGGTCCTTAAAGGGATCTATAGGGGTTCCTTACAGGGAACTCCAGAAAGTTGGAATATGGTTTCAGGGTAGGATCCCCTATAATTTACCTTAAAGGGGTTAGGATAATGATATTCCAACTTTCTGGCTTTTACTTTAGGAGGGTCCTGGGTTCAGGGGTTCAGTTCTTTTGTTTAAACTTCGGTTTAGGGCTCGGGGTTCAGGGTTTAGGAGGCTTTCAGGGTTTAGGGTTCAGGGTTGTTTGCAAGTTGAAGTGTTTAGGGTTTAGGGGTTAGGGGTTTAGGGTTTAGGGTTTAGTGTTTAGGGGTTTAGGGGTTTAGGGTTTAGGGTTACAAGGTATAGGATTGAGGTTAATGGGCCCCTAGAAATTTTCAACAGGGGCCTGATCCTTCAACAAGGGTTCTTCGATGCTATAAGCTTTGTAATACGTGGGCTGGTTGGGTAGGGTAGCATATTAATATTTAAACTTAGACCCCCTAAATACCCACTGTTCAGGACCATGCCATTGGGAAGTCCTGGAAATGTAAACGCTTTTAATTAACCATGAACTCTGCAGGGCCGAAAACAGCTCCTGGGCACGTATAGTAGAAGCCGAAAAGTTGGAAACCCAATAAATTAGCCTCAACCCTCAAGTCAAGAGCTAAGAACAGGGAATCCCAGCACCAATTGTCGTTTATCCGGCTTCCAACTTTTGGGTCTGCCGTAGTAGCTTACTGAGGGTGGCGCTGCAGGGTGCGTAGGCTCTCTGGAATAGTGGGGGCTTTGGGTTTGATGATTTTGAGCGCCCTAAGTACTAAGCCCTAAAAACCAAAACCCTAAACCCTCAGCCCTAAACCCAAAAACCCTAAGAATTAAAACCATAAGCCCTAAACCTTAAAACCCTAAGCCCTAAACCTTAAAACCCTAAACCAGGGTGACTAAAAGTTGATCCCAACCCGCAGCTGCATATACATTCCCAACTTGTCCCGTATCCTAAGGGATGAAAAATTTTACCTGTAAGGCCGTATAGGAATTATTCTACTACAGTTTAACGCTTAAGGATATATAAGTTCTGATACCCCGCCCCAAAGGGTTATTGAAGCGCTCCAGTACTAAGATTTACCTACGATTATGAATCAGACTGCTGATTTGCGAATATGCTCCCGGCCTTTATAGGAATCCTAAACCCTAAACCTTTACGTAATCCTAAACCCTAAACCCTCGGACTCTAAACCCTACACCATAAACCCTGGACCCTAAACTCTAAGCCCTGAACCCCGAAACCCTACTGAGCCCCTCGACACGGGGCACCAACAACCTCCTTGATTTCCCTCGGCCTGGGCCGCGCCAATAACGCCGGTGAGGCCCTCGGCGAAAACCTTCCCAAGGCCTTGCCGGCGGAGTCTGGATTAGATATGCTTTTCGGATTTATGCGATGCAGTACGTAGCTTGCTCTGGTACTTTAAGTTAATGTAGCTAACCCTAAAAACAAAAGACCGAACCCCTAACCCCAAATTCATTTCCCGCAGTAGTTTGTTGGGGTGTCAGTGGGCCTCCAGCATGCATTCAACTGCCTGCTTGGACAAACCACGTAGAGCCCACCTTGACCCCAAAATAGCCAACCCTTTCAGGGACAAATCTAAAGAAACCATAGCAAGGAACCCCAAAACAACGGACTGATACAAAGAGGCCATAATAAGAAAGAGCCCTAGAAGGGTGTGTCATTTGGGGTCCGGTCCGGGTCCGAACAATTAGACTGATCGCAACCTACAGTACGATTTCGCAGGGCTTGGGGCTACCATTCACGGCCTGGCGTGTAGATTCCAAAACCCTAAACCCAATACCTTGAACCCCAAACTCACAACCCAAAACACCAAACCCTAAACTACCCTAAGCCCTAAACCCTACACTCTATAAGCCCTGTGGTCTGGGTCTTGACGAAGGTTCTCTAAGGGTTTTTGCAAGGGTTCCAATAGGGACTCTTGAAAGTTTTGGAGCTTACCCCAGACCCTACACCTTAACCCCTAACTTAGTTGCTGAGTTCTTAAGTCCCCAAAAGTGTACACTTTTTTTATAGTTGGTAATATTACCCCCAAAGAAAATTAAAGTATATCCACTCAGCTACTAAGCTGAACCCCTTAACTCTGGAGTCGGCGACTTGAGGCTGAAGGCTTGTAAACTGTGCGTCACCACATGGGTGGTTGTCAAGATTACGGTCCCTTTTTGGGTCCCTATTATAGTATAGCACCTTATATTTTGGGTACCCAAAAGGGTGCCATAATTTTGACAACCGCCCACATGGAAGGGTTTAGGGTTTAGGGCTCCAGGTTAAGGTTTCCGGAAGCACTGTAAGCCTAGACTTTGAAGTTCAACAGAACTTTTCTCTGTACACTATGCCATACATATCCCGCCCCCCTCCCCCCCTTCAAAAAAAAAGATAGATACTTGCAAATATTTTCAGCACCTATACTTAAAGGATCATGGGGCTTAGTAACTAGGGGTATAACTAGGGTAACTAGACTTATAACCCAATTAAGGTACCTATAACCTTACTTACTATTCCTTTTAGTATTGGTCTTTAATCGCCAAATGCAGCGGCCATAATAATTAGAATTCGGTGAATATCATACTATGATCATAATAAAGGAACCTCAAAATAGTGTAGGTAATTGTTCAAGCCCCTACTTTAACTGGGGTTATAAATAGTTAGAAATATAGCTACCCTCACTATAACCCTAGTTACTAAGTCCCATGATCCTTTAAGTAACCCTAAGACCCCTTTCTTATAGAACCCTTATGGATCCCTTTTAAGGAGCCCTTTAAGGAACCCTAGTTACTAAGTCCCATGATCCTTTAAGTATAGTACCCGGCCCGAGAGCATCCTTGCCAACCCTACACCCAAGAGCCACAGACCTACACACGGAATCTTCAACGGCATCCCAAAGTAACGCAGTGTTTAAGGGTTTAAGGGCGTAAGCGTTTTAGGGTTTAAGGGTTTAGGGTTCAAGGGTTTAGGGTTCAGCATAAGAAACCCAATTGAGTGCAAAAGCTCCATGAAAACATCGAACACCCGAAGTGCGACCGACAACCTGAAACCTCAAATCCTAAACCCCCGCACACGCCGAGGCGTCGCGAACCGAACCCTAAACCCTAAACGTTCATGCAAAGTAAAAGCCCAAAACTTGGAACCCCAGTAGCCTCAATCCTTAAGAGTACTGTATAGGGAACCCCAGCACTATTTGTCCTTTATCGGGTTTCCAACTTTTTAGGGTTTACTATATTCAGCACCCCAAGCCCCCAACTAAACCCATCGACCCGAATTCCCGAACCCGAAATAAACAACCTACCTTTTGAAGGTAATATAGGGGCCTCAATACTTAGAATAGGGTGTTGGGGTCCCTGTATAGGTACTTTAAGGCCCAAATATCTACTATGTGGGTACATGGAGCATTTGGGTTGGGGCCCCTTATACTCTAACTATAATAAGGAACCCCCAAAAATAGCCTTTGGGTATTAAGGCTCCTCTTTTTTCGGTGGTTCATGTTTTGCGGCCTGAGAGGATTTGCAGCGCCGAAGTGGCACGAAAGAGGCCCTGGTCACAGAGCACCTGAAAACATTCCCCGAGCGTAGGATCCCTGAAATGGTTATAGTAGAAGCCAGAAAGTTGGAACATCAGACTCCTCATGCCCTTAAGGTAAAGTATAAGGGATCCTAGCACTAATCCTCCTAAAGCCATGTTCCAACTTTCTGGCTTCTACTGTAGAAGTAGAGTAGGGTTCCTTGAAAGGCCTCTGTAGTAAGGGTCCTATATCGGATATAAAGAGGGGTCCACATGGGGACCTTGATTATTACAATGTGTTGTTTGTATATTCAAACACATCTAAGCCGTGTTTTCATATACAAACAACACAGAACCTAAGGTAGAGTATTAGTGAATTTGCAGGGTTTGCTACAGAGTCTTTGCGGATTTGCAAGGGTCGAGGGTTGCGGGTCTCATTCAGGAGTTCAAGAAGGCGACGAGATATCTGCGAAATCTAAAGCCGGCGTGGTAAAAACGCTACCTTCGGACGACCTATTTCTGGATAGGCTCCTACAGCACGAACTGAAGGAAGCCAACACAACGTACCCCCAGCTAAGAAACACCTAGGCTTAAGTATTCATAATTGTTGGGTCCTTTGAACCATTGTCTTACGGACCCACTAGACCCGGACTCAACTCATATACCGCCTTACTTAAAACCGAAATCTTGCAAACCCCCACCGCCAAAAACACGCCCCAGACCTAAAGCCGTGCACCAAATACCCTCAATCGACAAACGGTTTAGGGCTTAGGGCTTAGGGACCCCAAGCAGGCTGAACCATCCAGGCTAAGCACCAAGCAAGCCCTAAAGCCTAACCGCCCTGATCTCCACACTCAAAAATCTGCAAAAGCACCGCATCTGATGGACACCTTGTGGAACCCTGATGGAGGTTTACAAAACTCCTTGAATGAGCCCTTCTACGGTTTAGGGTTTACGGGTTATGGTTCAGGGCGGCTGTATTTACAGAATCCGGAAACTTGGGCACCTGTGCCGAGCCGGGATGCCTGAGCCGGACCATGGCTCTCTAACGGCCGGCTGCTTGTTGCAACAAGCCGGGACTTTAGAAGTGGAAGAGGGTTTTAGGGTTTTGGGGCAAGGGATTGGGTTTATAGAGTTTTAGGTTTCGCGTTGAGGATTTATCGTTTTGGGACTGGGCGGTTTGGGGTTTATTGTCTAGTGCTTAGCCAAGGCACAAAAAGGGCCTCCCCTTTTCATATTGGGTCATTTCTAAGGAACCAAAGACCACAACAAAGAGAACAAGGGCCATTGGCTATAGAACCCTTACAGAACCCTCTGTAGCAATACTATCTTTCTCTTGGGGATTTGTGATTTCGCAGGTTCAGGCGTACGGTAGGAGGTATGCACTGAGGGTCTACACCTCAGAGCTGCAATCTGTAAAGACGACGCAGAGACGAGTCGAGCAGGAGGAATGCTTAGGGCTTAATTAGGGGTTTAGGGGGGTGTGGGGATCTAGAGTTCTAGGGTTCAGGAGGTTTGGGGGGTTTAGGGGTTCGGGGTTCAGGAGGTTTGGGGATTTAGGGGTTTGGGGTTCAAGGGGTTTGGGGATTTAGGGGGTGTAGGGGCTAGGATTTAGGCATCTAGGTTTAGGGATTCGACAAAGGAAGCCCTGGCGTCAGCCCTTGCACAATCAGAAATACACCCTGTGCTTCGGGTTTCGGGACGGGCGGTTTTGGATGAACGGCCTTGGGAATATGACTCATATTACTAGGTATGATTGGTACGATTAGCAACCACCGGAAACAATCATCCGGTTCCGACCGAAGCCTGCTAGCAATTGCAAGCCTTTGAACGGACACGCCTTGGCAAGTGGCAAGTAGAAGCTGCAGGCCAGCTCTTCGGGGAGTGTATTGTATGGTTTAGAGGTTTGGGGTTTTGGGATTACTGAATTCTTGGACCCTTAAGCTTAAGTGCAAGGATGCAAGATGTTAATGATAAAAACCAGGAAAGTCAGCACCTCTGTTGCCCAAAGAGCCTGATTGGCATGATTGGCCGTTTCTAGAAGGTTGGAAATATGAAGACTCCTGGAATTATCACAAGAGGACATTTAAACCGCATTCCACTGCACCCCTAAACCTTCAAGCCTAAATCCTGCACCAGTGCACGCGATTTGGGCTGCCCAGTGCTCAGGATTCAATTAGACTAGTTCTGGGTCTGTTGCTTTATGGCTTCATGGGGGTTTAGGGTTGGGGTTTCGGAGTTCGAGTTTGAGGCTTAGAGCAAGGTTTCGGAGTTCGGGCTTGAGGCCTAGAGTCAGGTTTCGCTGCTCGGGATCGAAGTTTCGCTGTCAGGGCTTCGTGCGCAAGGCGACACAAAGGACACTCCTTGCTCACAGTGAAGTTACGAAGGGCTCCTTTTTGCTTGCATGAATTGCGTCAGCATAGAAGTTTCCGGGAAATGGGGCAATCGCAGTTTGAATTAAACGAGTAAGAAAGCTACAGCGGCGAACAAGGTATGTTGCTGAAACGTCCCAACCCTAAACCAGGCTGCTATACTAAAGCCCCATGAAACAATTTCAAAGGCTTCTAAAACTTCCGGCAGACCTATAAAACTACCATAAAGCTGTCCATAGGCCCTTACTAGAAGACACATATTGGCACACTCGGGGCTGGCAAGCACCCGCGAAAAATCCGCCTACGGCACTCCAGCGTCAGCCCTTCGGGCAAACGCATTGAGGCCAACTCTTTTGGGGTGGAGGCTTTGGGGTTTAGGATTTGGGGGCTGACGGTTTAGGGTTTAAGTTTTTGAGGGTTTTGGGGGGTTTGGGATATTTAGGGCTCTTGGGTCTGAGGCTTGTGGGTTGAGGCTTTCCGGGGGTTCAAGGTTGGCCGAGGCTTTTTGGGTTCGTAGCTTTAGGGCTTGAGGTGCGGACCTCGGATGCACTTCAATCTACATGTGGATGTAGGGCTGGGAGGGCTTCTGTTCTCTAACTCCGGGCTTATATCCTAAGGCTCCGAGTGTTCCGACTATCTACAGAGTCACAGGCGATAAATCCTAAGCGAGCTACCCTGAATACGAACCGCAAATCTGGGGTGAACCGCGATTCCTAGAGCCAATATAAACCAAGATCGTAAACTCTAAACCACGTAGATTCCGCTTCAGGACACACTACGGGATTCACTGCTAGGATTTGTAGCCGGGTTCAGGGAGTTAAAGTTTTTGGGTCCAGGGTCGCGGGTCTAGGGATCTAGTGTTTACGGGGTTTACGAGTTTAGGCGTTTAGGGGCTTAGGGTTGAGGGAAAGTTGAGCTAAGGGTTTCGGGTTTCAGCCTTGCTAAAGTCGCATGACTTCTGGACCACATGGTCTTCGCCCTACTCACTAAAGACACAAGTGCGTGATGGCTTCGCCGCACGCAGCATAGACGATACAAATTCGCGGACTCAAGAGAGCATGTAGATTTGGCCCTCCTTGCAAAGACAAGGGCCCAAACCTAAATCCCCAAAGCCCCAAAACATGAACCCCCAACACCTCATGACCGACAACCGAAACCGTCTAGCATCTCTGGCGACAACTTTCTAAATCCTGCAAAATAGGCATAAACTGCGGAATCCTCACGAAGAAGTACAAATCTATTGTACAGCTTGGATGCACTGGCCAATGGATGTGCTGGTCGCATGGATGTTATCATGGTTTGGGCATGGATGGGGTTTAGGGCTTATAGGGTTTAGGGGTTTAGGGACACGCTGGCCGATGGATAGGCTGGTTGCATGGACGTGGCACGATGCAGACCTGAGCGACCAAGAAGTGGGGGCAAACGAGGGTGATGGAGCCTATCTGCATATGTTTGTGCCCTCAGCCATAAAGCCTACAATAAGCCGTTAACCTCACCTAGACCCTAGCCCTAAGCCCTCAACACCATCCCAAACCGCAAACCCCTAAAGCGATAAACCCTCAAAGACACATCGCAAACGCTACCCTGAGCCCAGCAAACCCCCAAATTGGAAATTCTTTAGTGTACTTAGTCGGTACTTCATCCCAAAGCCCTAGATAAGTCCGAATGTTGCATTACCCCCGATTATAGTTCCTTTGCCATTGAGTGCTTAGCATAGAAGCCTATTCTAATTGCTGCGGCGCCGGTATGAGCCCCAAATTACAAACCCGCATTTTGCAAGTACCCTACCCTAAACCCAGAGCCTGAAACCTACAACCTTGCCCTCATATACTGCATGGAGGCTTCCCGTTTTGATTGCTCCTCGTCCGAGCCAAGCTCCTGCCCTGTAGGCCAATCTTGGAGCAAAGGCCGATCCTGCCGAAAGGATTCCGCTTTAGGTAGTTGATGAAAGGAGGCTCCACACAATGATGGCTACAGCTGCGCTGAGCTGAATGCATTAGGTAGTTGGAGGTTGGGGGTGCTTGGGTTGTGGGTTTGGGGTTTGGGGGTTGGGAGGGGGTTGTATCAAGCCCCACAAAACACTGGAGGCGCGTCTTCGAGACTGTCTATCTTGAGCAATGCAGTGGCAATGCCCCCAATAGAGCCCAATGGCCGCAACGCTTCATCGCCCGCGGCTTGCACAATCTCGCGACCATTTTCTGGGTTCTTGTTAAGGAATTACATTCAAGCTACCATAATAATAGGGATCTATGGTAGAGTATACTGTTTCTTGAGTATAGTAACTTAAATTGAAACCTTTAACAAGAAACCATGCTTTCACCGTCGATCGTAAAGAGCCTGTCGTCCTGCCTCAGCGGCGCGTGTATCACAAAGCTCTCCAAAAGGGTCCAAGTGCTCTCAACCCTGGTCTCTCACGAAGGAGCTGCAAAGGAGCCGCAGTTCCAGTTTGGAGCTCAGAGATCAGTGTCGAAACTGCATCCATCAATGCCTTGATCGGATCTTCCTGGTCGAGATCACTTCGTAGTCCCGAAGCTCGACCTGAATCGCAACCATCCGTTTGTCTTGGGGACGTCTCACAAGACGAAGACAACTCCGACAGACTGATATGCGACGTTGATGGGAATCGCCTGCTCTTGCACGCCGCCCAAACCTGTGTTCTTTCAGACGTCCGGTATCAGACCGATAAACCTCGGTTGTAAAACTTGCGCATGCCCACAACAAAAAAACCTATTCCTCGATCTTGCTTAGGCTTCTACATCAAACGGTGAGGAGAATAGCACTCAGCCAAACCCTAAACCCAAAGACTTAGCCTAAGGCTCCATGCAGCTACTTGGGACTTACAGGGGTCCCCCTGCCGGCACTGTAAGGCCCCAGTATATACTACCCAGGTCCATGGACCCTATACATACCTGTAGAAGATATCACCGAAAACCCTCTATAGGACCCTTAAAAGGAATCCTCACAGAACCCATGTAGGCACATGGAAACTTTTGGGCTTCTACTCTAAGGTTCCCATTCCCTAAGCCCTCTTATCTGGAAGTGCTGGGTCAGCCTTATGAAAATGGAGCAAAGAACCTTAGGGTTAGCTCGGAATCTCCGGGTTCGACTCCTGGTAGTCGTAGGGCTTTTAGGAGTTTAGGCTTTGGGGTGCTGAACCCCAACTTTCCCCAAACTCCGAACTTCAGAGCACACAAAGTAAGCCCTGCAATCGAGAGAGAGTTTAAGGCTTAAGGCCTAAACATTAGGGCGTAGGGTTTCGAAGTTGTGTTTCTGCACCTGGACATATGAAACTTAGCATTGCAATCCCAATTGAGTCTCCGCTCTGTATTTGGAGACTTGGTTTAGGTACGACGGTTTGCGGCGTTTGCGGTTTAGGGCTTTCCTGCCCGGAAATGATGCAAAAAAGGCCAACTCTCCGCTAAGATCGTATGTTTTCAAAGGATAACAGCTACTTGAAACTGCACTGTCGAAGTCTACTACCCCTTACCCCTTAAAACCTCCATCCCCTGAAGCCTCAACTCAACAAAAAGCTCTGAGCCCTAGTTTAAGGTTTAGGGCTTATAGGCGTTTAGGCTAACGCGCACCTTAGCGACCATGGTGTTTTGGCATGGTTTTCAGGTTTCAGGTTCGAGGTTGGGGGTTGGGGGGGGGTGGTGGGGGGGCTGAT